ATCATGTTCACGCCAGGTGTGAGGGCCCGATGACTAACATTGTCTAATGTCAATTGGCTGCGCTATTTTTGTCTACAGATGCTCCTTGATTTACAGTGAGATTAACTCCTGACAAGTTGAAGGTATTGTCAGTTGAAGGTGCGTTTCATCCCTCTGACCTCCCAGACACCCGGCTCAGTACCACAGTGCACTGTGGAGTGTGCTTGTTCACCTTCCTGGTTGTGTGGCTTGCTGGAGCTGCAGCTCACTGTTGCTGCCCAACACTGCATATTGTCCTGCGTGTTGTTGACCCTGGTAAAGATCTAAATTCATAAATGAAAGTGTGGTTCATACTGAATGTGTAACACTTCCACATCATCATGAAGTCAAGAAATCGCAGGTTGCCCCATCAAAATTTGGGAGCCATCCACCTCCTTTACGGTGGCTGCTTTCTTGTCAGTGTCACCCTTTGGGGGTCACATTTGGTAGTCACTGACCTACTCGCTTCTAGCCAGTGAGTTAATCCATTCCAGGCTCCTGAGCAGCCAGCAAGGCCCTCATCACTGCCCATGAGCCTGTGCACATATTTTCCTCAAGCTCCTTCTTGTTCCACCAAAACGTAGATGACCAGGGTCATCCCTCAAGGTTCTACCCACTGGAAAGCTTTTCCTTCAGCACTTGAAGGTCCACTTATTTTAGAGCTAAACTGTCCCCCAGTAGCCCCATGTGTTCCCAAGGTGATTGGATTGTGGGGTTGCATCCACTGATAAATTTAGTATCTAAATGTGCTGTTTGGAAATGGGGCTTGGTTGTAGGTGGGCCACTGGAGGAGTGTCCTTGAAGGGAGTATTTTTGGCTTCAGCTCCTCCACCCTCATTCTGTTTCCTATCTGCCATGGTTTCAGCAGCTTTTCTCTGCCATGCCTTTTTACCAGGCCAGACATAATCAGAACCACTATGTGGCTGAATATGCAGCAGTGTATAAATCATTCTACGTTCTGCCAGAATGGTGAATTGCATTGGGGTAGAGAGACAGGAAAGAGGTGGCCACCACTGTATCATTTAGATCCACAGGGTTGGTAGCCATCTCCACCATCCTCCTTGAGTGTGACAGTATTTTTCTTCACTATTTTGTAGAGGAGACAGCTGTTCTGTAGGCTCTTATTCTGTACCTTCCCTGAGTGGGAGCTACTTGGGAAGAATGTGACCTTGGTTTAAATACAGGTGATAGGTTGTTCTTGCATAGACTTCACAGAGACCACATGTGTCCCAAATTAAGCAAAAACTTGTATGGGTGGTGCTTGCTTTGTTGGCACATATACTAAAGTCGCCACCATGCAAGGATGACATGCAAATGTTCCACATTTAAAGAAACAATTAACTGGTGTGTATTTTTCAAGGACTTGGAGTCTCTTACTCTTTTCAAAGTATTCCTTGATGCTCCAAAGTGATGTCAAATTGATATGAACCTTGATCTCGACATTTCTCCTGGCCCTTTTGATAGTTTCTCTCATTTAGACAATTGTTTATATAAGAAACCTCTGCACCCTGAGAGCCAAGTGGAAGAAGCGAATGCCCAGGCTGAAGCACAAAAGAAGACAGATGAGGCAGAGGTCCAAGTAAACTAGCTTGTGCCCCCATGGAAGTCAAAGAAGCAGAAACAAGGAATTCTGGAGGCTGAGGTCACTGGGACAAGTTGTGGACTGCATGCTACTGTCTAGAATGTGTATCAGTGGATTAGACCTTTATTGTCATCTGATTGCTGAGACCACCTTAGAGAGACATGCCTTCTTCATAACTAAAGCAGCCCCATTGGTCTTTCCCTTGGACCTGTGGCATTTTGTACTAGTTCTGTTCTCAGTTGTGGCTGAGTGTAACATGTGTACCATAAATCATCTCTTCTGCTGTGTTAGCTGAAGAATAAAAATAAAAAAGTTGTTTATACTCTTGGCAGCTCTTCTGGCCTCTTTTCTATTCCTCAAAAACACTAAAGCATGGCTGGGGATTTAGCTCAGTGGTTCCACTGCCTGCCTCGCAAGTGCAAGGCCCCAAGTTCCATCCCCAGTACCAAAAGCAAAACCAAAACAGTAAGCTCATTCCTAGCTCAGGACCTTTGCATTACTGTCCTCTCTGCCTGAATGGCCTCTCCTCAGATACTCCAGTGGGTGGCTTTTTCTATTTTAAAACCCAGTTTTCAGTTTACATGTCACCTTACCTCAGAGATCTACGTTAATAGCACAAGCCACAGTAGTCAGTCACCTTCTAGCATATCCCCCTGTGCTCTAGCTTGGATCTGGGTGTTTCCTAAAGGCCCATGTGCGGAAGGCTTGGTTGCCAGTATGTGGTAGTGTTGGGAAGTGGTGGAACCGTCTGCCTTACACTCCTGCCACAGTGGACTGTGCTGCCACAGGCTCAAAGCAAGAAGGTCAAACCACCATGGAGTGGAACCTCTTAATTATGAGCCAAGATAAACCTTACATCCTTACACACTGATTTATGTCAGGTATTTGTTGCAGTAACAGAAAGCTGAACTTGTTTCATTTCTAGCATAGCTTTTTTGCCACTTGGTCTTCTTTATCTACTATACATCTTTGTCCTATAGTGTATAAACTCCATGAAAACAAGGATTGTTCTGCCTTGATCACCATTCTATTCCTACTGCTTGGAACTACCTAATACATAGCAGATACTCAAGATGTTTTCTTAAGTGAATTAATGCTTGTCTTCTGCACCAATTGCAAAATATTTTCCTATGCATCCACATTTTATATCTTCTCTATAGTACCATAAAGTGTAGATGTAATTATAAATAACCCAAACATACTAAAAATTCAGACTGTAATCTGTGTACTGGGTTCCAAGATGAAAGATGATAATATTTTGCTTAAATAATTTCAGATTTCGGCTTCTTTTATATTTTAGCTAAACGTTCACATCCCATTTTTCACTCTGTTCTTTCATTTCCATAACTGATATCTTGAAGATTGAGAATGTCATTTATTTACACGTTTGAATAGTTCAAGATATGTATGCTTGTGTTCATAACTAATATCTGCTTTTTATGTTTTTAGACTTTAGGTACGAGCTTGAATGCTGCATGTGCTTTGGGTACTTTAGTCCTGCATATTTAATATTTTTGTTGAGCCATGGAATTAGACTACTTGGAACCATCCTACCTGTGGACTTATTATTATGTGACATAATAAAATTCCCCATTATTCAAGCCATACGAATTGGATTTATGATGTACAGCTGGAAACCTCTTATGATAGTCTCGTTCTGTCAGCGTTTCTCATCGTTGAGTCCTTATGTCATTGCTAGGCTAACGGTTTTTATTTGGCTGCAGACCTGCTGGGGATGAGACAGTTTTAATCGATAAGCTAAATCCTTATTTCTCAGTTCATAACCTTTTATATTCACAATTTCTTGCTGGATGCTACAGTCTGGACCTTTGTGAGCACCCCAAATTCCTATGTTGGAATGTGGTTCTCAGTGTGAGGAACAGAGATGGGAACTTTGCGAGGTGAAGAGGTCATGAGGATGGAGCCCTCATGAAAAGGATTTGTGTTCTTACAAGGAGCTTTGTTAGTCCATTTGGACAGATATATTAAAAATATCATCGATTCTCATTTTTTCCCCTTACATCAAGACCTGTCCTGTAGAGGTACAAGATCCCAACAATGAATGTAACTGTACTGTATCCCTAAAATGTACCAATAAACTCAATTAAAGCTGAAAAAAAAAATAAAAGAGAAAAAAAAATCATTGACTGCAATTTATAAGCAATAAAAATTGATTGCTTACAGTCCTGGAGGCTGGGAAGTCCCAGGTCAAGGTGCCAGAAGATTCAGTGCCTCTTGTGGCTTATTTTCTGTCCCACATGTGAGAACGAATATGGTAGAAGGAATAAACAAGCTCTTTCAGGCCTCCTTTGTTAGGGCACCAATACCATCTCTCATGAGGCCCTGCTCTCATGACCTAATGGCTTCATAAGGCCCCACCTCTTAGTAGCACCCCATTAACATTAGGTTTCAATATCTGAACTTGAGATGGGCAAGCAAATCTTTAATCCATAATGGGAGCTGAAGACAACAGGGTTCTTTCCTTGCAGCATGTGAGGAAATAGCCAGAAAGTACTATCTATAAATCAGAAAATAAACCCTTGTATTTGTCACTTTCCCCTTGCAGGAACAAAATTTGAATTTAAAGCAGGAGAAGTTTATTTGGTTCACGGTTTCAGAGGATTCAGTCCATGGTTGGCTGGCTCCAAGGAGGAAGTGGCATGGTGGAAGGGCCTGGAAGAAGAAGGAGCTCAAGTCATGGCAGCCAGGAAGCGGAAAGAGAAGGGAAGTCATGGGAACAAGAACACCCCCTTCCAGGTCACATTTCCAGTGATCTACTTCAGACCAGGCGCTATTTCCTTACAGCAAGTCAGAAATACCATTCAGTGATACAATTTGGTTCTAGAACAGAAGCGTTCAGTAAAATTTTGCTTCTGTTCACAGACATGGAGTGGTATCAGTCACAAACAGCCATCTCCCCCACACAAACATGCATGCAGCCACCTTTCCCAGAATCACGGAAGGAATTAAGTTTGAGAAGTGAGGCACCACTGTAAATGCACTAATGGATCAATCCAACAATAACTATCACATCTGCATGATTCAGTCGCCTTCTAAAAGCTCTACCTCTGAATACATGAGAAATTTGAGAGGAGCATTCTCAATCTAAATGGCAGTAGCACTCATCAGACATTTCATCCTTTTTCATTGAATTTATTGGTACATTTTAGGTATACAATACAGTTACATTCATCATTGGGATCTTGTACCTTTACATGACAGATCTTGGTTCTCACTTTTTCCCTATACCCCTGACCTCCCTTCACCCCCTCCACCCTTCCCTGATATGAGAAAAGGAAAAAATGGAAACAAAGTCTTTGTGAACAGACACTACATCTTGATCTCTGACTTCTGAATGTCCAGAACTGATGAGATATAATTTTTGCTGCTTATAAGCCAACCACTTTTTATAGCAGCCCAAATGGACTAAGACACTGTATAACAAACAGTAGTTAAAGCAAGAAAATTGATGATTTCACTGAGTTCCTGGGGGTCAGGAATCTGGGAGCAGCCTAACTGAGTAGATTGGGCTGGGGGGGTCTCTCCTGAGGTTGCAGCCAAGCTGCTGGCTCAGATTACTATTCATTCTTGTGACTCTTTAGGACGTTTTAGTTCCTCCAGCACAGCACATGTACCAGCCAACATCCATGGGAGCCATCAGACTAACAGCATCTGTGACTGCTCTCTTGCTGACACCTCCTACGTACCTATCCTTAGCTTCTCAGTACTTCCAGGGTCAAATCACCTCTCTCCACCCTCTTGAAAGTAGTGTGCGGTAGAGCTGAGCCTGAAGCACAAATCGTTTCTCATCATCCTTAGGATAAAATCCATAGCTTCATCTCTAGTCTCCTTATGACATAGTCTGTTCTTGTCCTGGGTTCTTTACTCTCTTCCTTCGATTTTCCATTAGGCCTGAAGTTCAATGTCACTTCCTCAGGGAAGTTTTTCTGACTCTCAGAAAAGATTGGGGCCTCCTCTCACCAGTTTCCAGTGCACCCGGTCGTCACTCAGGTCACTCATCTCGTTGGCAGAATGTTTGATTCCTATCTGGTCTGTAAGTTTTCAAAGTGAGGGACCACACAGGTTTTATTCACAGCCGTTCTTTCAGGCCTCTAAATAACCTGCATAGTAGACGTGCAATCAATTGTGTTGAATAAATGCTTGAATGATGTTCACCTGGAAATTATTTATTCTATGTCCTTTACGTCTATAAAAAAGAGACAAGTCGTTATATAGAAAAACCATTCTTACCTTAGTGAACATTGTACAAGGTAGAAGCAGACACTCAGTGCTAGGACCCTTCAGGAGATTTTCTGGACCCTGGGTGGGGTCCAGTTAGAGCACACCTCTCGGTTTTGTCCTTCAGCAAATGCATACTGTCTCCAGCTCTCTAACACGGGAAGCATGTATGTAAAAGGCAATACATTTCCCAGATGTGTGTTTGACTCAAGCAAATATAGCAACTTAAATTCCAGCCTGGAGGAAATCTGTACCTACCTAATTTAATTTTGGTTAACTACTTGAAAGCAGGATTTTTTTTGGAAGCTTCATGATGAGAGTTCACAGTTACAGTAATAGTCCACATTGATTGAACTCCCATTGTATATTCCTGCCTCATTTTAATCTTCTCACTAAAATAATAGGACAGCTGCTACCTCCTTTTTATTGATGAGGAAATTGAGGCCTAAAGGGTCAGAGAGCGCCCATTCACACATCCAGTAGGCCGTGGAACCTTACTATAGCCTAGGTCTGTAGACCACAGTCCCTTTCTTCTGTACCAGATCCACCCACAAACTATTGGCTTTTCTTGGAGTTGCCTTATTTTTTGTTTCCTTCCCTACCCGAATGGCTCATCTGCTTGCAAAAATTGATGTATATTATTTACATGAAAGAGAATGTTTCAGTTTGGCACATTTATACCAGTGTATAACATACTTTGATCACTGACCCTCCATTTACACTTGCCTTGGCCTTCCCGCCCCTCCCCTGACTCCCTTCCTCTTCTCTAAAAGTTTCCAATCTATTTTCAGGTCATCAAGCTCTTTTTTTTTCTCCCTAGATTCCACATATGAGAGGAAAACCTATGGGATTTATCTTTTCAGATCCTGGCTTACTGTGATAATCTCTTGTTCCATCCATTTTCCTGCAAATGACACGATTTTTTTCTTCTTTATGGTTAAGTAATATTCCACTATGGATATATGCCACATTTTCTCTATCCATTGATCCGTTGATGCACCTAGACTGTTTCTATAACTTAGCTATTGTGAATGGTACTGCAATAAAGATAGGTATGCGGGTATTTTTACAATAAGCTGGCTTTAATTCTTTTAAGAATATACTGAAGAGTTGTATAGCTGGATCAAATGGTAGTTTTAATTTTGCTCTTCTGAGGCACCTCCATTTTGTTTTTCTGAGTGGCTGTACTAATTACATCTCCACCAGCAGTGTCCAAGGGCTCCTTTTCCCCTGCATCCTTGACAACTCAACTGCTTTTAACTCTTAGGCCAGCCATTTGGGCTGTGCACAGGCTTTTCACCTGTTTTCTTTGCGAGGCTGTTTAGGTCAATTTCAGTTGCATAGCAGATACCCCCCTCCCCCTTAAACTGAAGTTTCTGTTTACACAAATGGAATTCAAGATTCCCCCAGTGGTTCAAGAGCCCATTAGCTTTGAAGCAAAGAAGCCTGCCTGCTTTGAGAAATTTCCATGCAGAACGACATCGAGCCAGAACCACAGATCCACCTACCCCTTGCCTGGCTCCAGTGGAAAGGAGTGGAGCTGTGCCAGATCTGGAGGCAGGTCGTGGTTGCTTGTTGTGTAGGTAAACAGTCAGGATTTATTAGTGCCAGAGATGTCCACGGTGGGACCTGTTATAGCAGGCTCGGTGGAAAGGCCTTTTGTCTCTTCTACAGTGCTAACCTTCTCTATCTCTCGCCCTGCTCGACTTAAACTTTGTGTTCCACGCAGCTGATGAGACAAACTTGATCAGCAGAAGCCTGGGTTGCCTCTGTCGGTTCACCGACTCTCCACTCAGCCCTCTCCGCTCCGGCTGCTGCTGACTGGCTGACCTACAGGAATTGCAGCACAGAGACTGAGGAAGTGTTGGCGTTCACAAAGGCCACTTTCTCTGCTGTTGCTCTCTGCATGCCCACACACAGCCGGCTTCCCTGGTGGCATTGAAAAAAGATGGATTTGTTAGAGAGCCCCATCCGTGCATGTGAAAATTAGTGGGTATTATGACTTGTAATGACTTGGGTCCATTGACCGCAGCCAACTGTTGACATCTGTGTGCTGGTTATAAGTAGACATTTCTGAATTCCAGGTATCATTTCCTACTCAAAAACATGCCACTTTGCCTTTTCTGTCATAGTCTTTCTTGTGATTTAGTCTTCCTTGGGGTATTTGTAGGAGGTAAGGGCAGGAGAGAGAGATAAACATATATTTTAGACAGTGTTCTGAGCTCTTTACTCCAACCCTATGGGAGCAGAACTCACCATTCTTTCCACTTAACAGAGGAAACTAAGACCATCATAGATGAACTGACACACCCAGGTGTGCAGAGATAGGAAGGGGTCATCTGGATTCAGTACGAGGTAGCATACTGAGGAAGTGCTAAGTCTGGAATACTTTTAAAAATATGCCTACTGTGCAGTTTTGTAGTTTAAACACAGCAATTGTATATACAAAATTACTTTCCCCAAACCCAAGAAATATTTGGTCAATTTTCAAATTTGATCTTCTGAAGATCAGTGATTCTATAGGCCGAGGATTTAGCTCAGTGGTGCCATTCCTGCCTCTCAAGAGCAAGGCCCTGAGTTTGATCCCTGGTACTAAAAAATTGGAATTTTCTATGTAATTTTGAGAGGTGCAAAGCCCCTCTAAAACTTCCCTTTCAATAGACTCTGTGAAACCCCCAGATTGAGATGACTTGACTTAGAACAATACTAAACTCTGAAAATAGAAGAAACAGTTTCCTTCCTCTCTCCATGGATTGGGATCCTGCCTTTCTTGGTCAAGCCTCCTGTCTCTGGGAATATTTCCCCCTAGTATTCCCCCTAGTACTGGCCTGGAATGATCCCCCACTTTTAACTTTGGTTCTTAATCTGACAGTACAAACCAGGACCAGGCATGACCCAGGGCCCCAGTTCTACAGCACACTGGATCTGTTTTGCTTTGCCATTTCCAGCTGCCTGGTCTTAGCTGGGTATAGTGGTACATGCCTGTAATCTCATCACTTTGGGAGGCTGAGTCAGGAGGATCGTGTAGTTTTAAGCAAGTCACTTTATCTTTTGAGTCTTTATTTCTACATATTGTACAGCATGGCTACAATGGTTAAATGTAATTCTATAAGGCAGACTTGTGTCTATAATGGTTGAATACAATTTTGTAGAGGTAGCACTTTAAGAAGCTGTATAGTCAAATAGCTGCAGTCACAGCCTTTGGACTCAGGAGTTCTGGGTTCAAACCCTGCTCTACCTTTACTCTGTGACTTTTTGTGTTATTGAACTCCCAGGTTCTCAATTTCCCTATATGTCAGGGGGAGAGGATAGGTTTGTGTAAGGAATAAAGGGGATGGGGAAACTGATTCAGAGAAGCTGACCCCAAAGTCCCATATCTGTAAAGCATCCTCCCTCCTCCCTCTAAGGTGTCACTTGCGGTACCTGTACCTATGCCCAGTCCCCTCACAGGACGGGGCCTTCCCTGCCTGCTCTCTTTGATCCCTGAGCCCAGTGCCCTGTGTGCAGGAGTGATTTCTGCTGCTGAGCTCACCGTCATGGACATCACGAGAGGACGCTGTTTCCAAACGGTGATCACTTGGAGCAGAGAGAAGGAAAACGAGCTAAGAAGTGTTGGGAGGGAAGAGAGGCTTGGGTTCCCCTTGGATTCTTCCCTTGGGTCCTCCTACCTTCGCGCCCATCCCTGGTCCCGCAAGGGTTAAACTAGCAGAGAGCAGAGGTTCGGGCTGACGTCGCTCCGGCTGAAGGTGGTTCCCCTCCGAGGAGGGTGCGAGAGCCCGAGAGGCGCTGAAACCCGAGCTCCCACTCAGCCGGGGCCTGGGGAGGTCCTGTAAGGGCTCCCGCGTCTCTCCTCTTGCGCCCCGGTCACTCGGGCACCTCCACGGGAGAGATGGAGCAGCTGGACCGCTGGGCGCAGTTGGGGCTTCTCTTCCTGCAGCTCCTTCTCATCTCTTCCTGGCCAAAAGGTACCCTGAGCGGAGCCGGGACGCTGCGGGACGGGGCTTGTCCTCCCTGGGCCGCTGTGGAGCCAGACCGGGAGGCTCCGGGCGGGTGGCAGAGCTTTTCCTAGCGGCGATCTTGGGGGCTTGGCTGGTGGCGCTGGAGAAGGGGACGCGGTTGATTTTGTCATCTCTACGTGTGGGACTGAACTGTCTCAGGAAGTGGGCAGTGGGGAAAGCACCAGTTTTATTTGCTCTTTTTTAGCTTATCTATGGAAAGAGCATCAAATTACCTTGTGGAAATCAATTGAATCCCAGTTATCGGGCTCTGGTAACTCTGATAACTTCGCAAGAACAAAGTTTCCCCTGGGGAAAGAGCTCAAGGAGATGAGCAGAGAAGGAGAGGATTGAAGAGCAGGGCTCACTTGGGTGCGTCGTGCTTGATTTTATCTAACAAGGTATCTGAGCAGATCCCGACACAGACTTAAGGTCTTTCCTGCCTGATAAGAATGCGAAAGAAGAAGAAGACGAAAAAATTTGAGGTTAAAAGTCCAAATTGTTTCCGCGGATGCGCAGTTCATTTGGAAAGAGTTCTGGCTTTGTGTTTTCAAACGTGTCATTTTCCCCAGCCACAATTCCCAGGTCAACAGGGTTCCCCAGGCAGAAGAGGCTGGGACGGACACAGGGCTCCTGGGGCTCTTCAGCAAGCGAAAAGCAGAAGCTAGGGAACTCACCGGCTGGCAGGGGAGCAGGGCTTCTTAGGGATATCTGTCCTCATGTGGGTTGAGGGGTGAGGTGTTTGATGTCGGGTGAGACCTCTTGAGGCACAGGTAGGCTGAGGGGTCTGACAGATCTGACAGATCTGACAGAGAAGGGAAGCATGACACAGGAGTGGGTGCCTTGCCTGTGAGCCTTTTTATCCTGGACACCTGTCCCCAGGGCTCTACCGGAGCACTGGATCCTCTGACTCTGCAGGTGCCTGAGAAAGAAACAGGGTAAGTGGCCTGGTGGGGATGCTAAATTCAATTGGCCCCTCCATGGGAGCACAGCCTGAGGTACACGTCTTCATGACCCCAGAAAGCTGAAACATATGACCACCCTCCACACCCACTCACAGTTTGGCTACTATTTTCTGTCCACCTGCAGCCTGCCTGCCTCTGTTAAATCTCCCTCAGTGATCTACCACCAAGGTGGTAAGAATGTTTCTGTTGAGTTTTGCCTCTGTGGCATCTGGAGCTCCCAAAGACAATAAAGAAGCTTCTTCCTGCCTTCCTTATGATAATTCATAAGCCTAAATACTTGCCCATAAGTCAATAGAAGCATGAGGGCTCCCACCTATTCCATCTCTGCCTTCCAGAACCAAACCTCCAGGGTGTGGTAGCCTTAGACTAACTCCAGAGGACTCTGGCTCTCCTCAGAGTACCAGCGGATCAGATTCCTAAGGGTTGCATCAATCCTGTTACATTTTCATAATGTGCCAGGTGCGACAACTTAAACCTATAAAAGTTAGAAAAAAGAAAAACAAAGCTCCATTGTCTAGGATCTGACAAACCCATTTATTATTGACCTGAGAATCTCTTTTACCTTCTGCTGGGGAAAAGCTGGAAGGCGGGTATGTGGTTTGTTGTTGGCCAAGTTGCTGCCTGAAGCAGGGAGCAGCTTCAAGTGTTTAGCAAGGGTATTGCAGTTGTTGAGCATTCAGAGGAAAGATGTTGGGGTGGTGGTGGTGAGAAAGGAAAATATTTCTTCATGTAGGGAAGAGTCCACTCCCTGCTGAAATTCTGACTCTAGTCCCATGAAGAAAAGCTTGGAAGCATATTTCCTCTAATTACTTTTCTAAAAAGAGTATCTGATGAAATGTAAACATCCCCTGGGATGGTCTGGGAGATTGTCGTTGCTCATGGGCATGTGATACTTGTGGAGGGCTGAGAATCCAAACCCTTGGCCAAGTGATAAACCTAACATAAACAGCATGTGAGGGGGAAACCCAGTTCCACTGACTTCACCAAATAGCAGTGTCTCTGCCAGCATGACTCTGTCTAGGAGGAAAACCTCGTTTAAAATATGGGACTCTTGGGAAATGAAACTTTAATATGGATGACTGCACAAGTGTCACTTCCAAGAGACATCAGCTTGTGGGGAATGAACACAAATGCAACAGGGGAAGATAATTCGAAGCACAGATATTCAGTGGTCTGGAGCAGCCAGCTGAGAAAGGGACTAAGGAAAGCAAGCAAAGGAGGAGGAGTGGCCACAAAGATTGGATATTGATGTATGTTGGGTTGTGCTAGCACGTTCTGAGGTGGTAGCTATGGAAGTTGGCCCTTCTTGGCAGGAATGGATGTTTGTGGGGACCCTGAAGAAGGTGTTTCTCTACCAGATACCAGGAGAACTCTGGAACCCTAACAGGAAAGTAATTTCATAATGGAATCATGGACTTTCGGAGTTGAAAGTGACTTTAGTGATCATTAGAGTTTGAGTCCTCAGTTTCAGAGGGCAAGGAGATTAAACATCTCAGACCACACAAATAAGGTATGTGCTTTTATTATCCTTGTTTTTTGCTTAACTTCATTTTTTTTTTTTTTTTTTTGTT